GATTTGGGATTATGTGGACCAGTTGATGAAAAATCATCAAATAAAGTCTATGGAATTGTACCATATGTTGCACCTGAACTATTTAGAGGCAAAAAGAACACCAAAGAATCAGATATATATAGTGTTGGGATGTTAATGTGGCAAATATTTGCAGGTCATACACCATTTGATGATAGAGCTCACAATCATCGTTTAATTTTTGATATATGTGAAGGTTTACGACCATCAATATTACCTGAAATGCCTAATGATTATGCACAAATGATGGGGAAGTGTTGGGATGCGGATCCATCAAAAAGACCAACTAGTAGAGAGCTTGCTATTTTTGCTATTGATAAACATCAGGAAATTCGTGAAAACAATAGTAGCGATAATAATATCAGCAATAGTAGTAGTGATTCGCAACAAGTACACAAATCACATCCAGATGCATATCATAAAAGTAGAATATTAGATGAAGAGATTGCTAAATCTAAAAGCTTGAAAAGTTATGCAAGTAATAATTCATTAAATAATCTTAATTGTAGCACTTTTCTCTAAAATGTTAACAAAGGTGAATAAAAAATTTCGTTATTAATTAATTGGAAATTACCATCCATTAATTATCACTAACAATATTTTTGATTAATAAGATTATATTTAGTAATAATAGTAAAAGAAGTTAATTTACAGTTCACTCTCTCATTATAGCGGATCATTGAGACTAAAAAAATATCCGTTATAGAGAATCCATATTAATATAAAAATTTTGGACAAATTTTTCTATATGAATTGACTCCTTTTTAAAGCTAAATTGAATGGTGGTGGTTTTTTAAAAATTTTAGCTTTCGAGTATAGATGATCTGCATTGTATATTTGGTTGCTCAAATTTGATTAAAATTTGTTTAACACTCCTAGCATAAACTCATGTTGTTCAAATTTTGATAATGGTGCACCACATCTATAGTAGCGCGAAAATTAGAAATTGCAATTTACAGAACAAAAAAAGAATAGTGTACCAGTACAGAATCTCTACCAACTGCAAAAAAGTCATATTTTTATATATTTTGTATTTTGATGATGTATCTCATCATTAAATTAAAAATAGCAATAATTTATTTAAAATCTTGAATAGTATTATTTTTTTTTTTTTTTTGGAAATAAAAAAAATCTCTCAAGTACCATAGTATCTATCTATATAAGTATGTATAAATAAATAAATAAATAAATAAATTTACAAAGTTGTATTTAAAACACCAATTAAAAATTTTTTTACGTAATTAATTTACCTCCAA